ATGGCAGAAGGTAGTGGAACAAAAGCGTGAATACGTTGTTCAATAAAGTTCTTGGTGCAAATGAAAAATGTGTCTTTTATTTTTACTTAAAAACAGAAGGCACTTTTTGGCCAACCCAATAGGATGGTGGCTGTGTGGAGCGGGGAAGGGATAGTTACTGTCTAATGGGTATAGAGTTTCAGTTTTACAAGATGAAAAGCATTACAGAGGTGGATGGTGGTTATGACTGTACAACATTATGAATATATTCAATACTACTGAACTGAGCACTTAAAATTGATTAACGGGATAAATTTTACGTTATGTTTATTTCATCACAACAAAAAGAGAGAAAAAATTCAAACAGCCCTTCTTCCTTGGCCCAAATCATGTAGTTAGTTATTCCCTCCACAGGGCCCCAGGGAACCTAGAAGCATAGCAAAAGAATTTCTATATTGTACTGTGTGATAAATTGGCATGTTTGTGTACCCAATGGCTGTTCTTTGATCTTATGCATGATGCTTATGAAGGTATACTGAGGATCCTGTATATTATTATCTGCAGAGTATATGCTGGATCTCTGTAATTCAATAATTTTTTGTCAGGAGACTACAAGTTTACAGCCAAGAAGAAATGCCAGACACTTCACTAAAAGAAAAGTTATCCAGAGGATATTACAGGAGATCAACATAGGAGATGCTAGGTGAGGACTGCAATCCTACCCAGACTGCAGAGGGACAGCTTTCCGGTGGCCAAGAAAGGCATGGTTAATATGAAAAGTATAAGCCAGGCTGAAGACTGGCATTTTTGGCATATAATAAGGAAAACCTTAAAACCAATTCTCTCTTATAAATTTGAAAATACTTATTTTAATAGGGGAAAAGGAAGCTGCAGTGTAATTTTTATAGCAATTAATTACCTAGTTACAAAATTCATCTGGGATACATATCCTGGGGCTTTGTATTTTCTTGAAAAAGAAAATATTTAGGGGCTTCCCTGGTGGCACAGTGGTGAAGAATCTGCCTGCCAATGCAGGGGACACAGTTCCGAGCCCCGCAGAACAACTAAGCCCATGTGCCACAATTACTGAGCCTGCGCTCTAGAGCCCGCGAGCCACAACTACTGAGCCCGTGCACCACAACTACTGAAGCCCGCACTCCTAGAGCCTGCGCTCTCCAACAAGAGAAGCCACTGCAATGAAAAGCCCGCACACCGCAATGAAGAGTAGCCCCTGCTCACCGCAACTAGAGAAAGCCCGCGTGCAGCAATGAAGACCCAACGCAGCCAAAAATAAATAAATAAAATAAATTTATTTTTAAAAAAAGAAAATATTTATGTCAAACAACTACCCTGCTTTGTCTTTTCCTCAGGAGACATAGTCAACTTGTTATATATTTTATTAGCCATATCTTACTCACACTACAGTTACCAATTGAGGGTTCAAAGAGCCCCTTGAAATTCTGTATTGTGTACAGAACTTTGCATATAGGTGAGTCTAGGCATTTTTCCCGGAGAGTTTAGAATCATCAGATTCTCTAAGTAGTTCACACTCAAGACAGACTGAGAGGACTTCCCCGGTGGCGCAGTGGTTAAGAATCCGCCTGCCAATGCAGGGGACATGGGTTCGAGCCCTGGTCTGGGAAGATCCTACATGCCGCGGAGCAACTAAGCCTGTGAGCCACAACTACTGAGCCTGAGCTCTAGAGACCACAAGCTACAACTACTGAAGCCCGCGCGACTAGAGCCCGGACTTCGCAACAAGGGAAGCCACCGCAACGAGAAGCCCACACACCGCAACGTAGAGTAGCCCCCGCTCACCGCAACTAGAGAAAGCCGGGGTGCAGCAACGAAGACCCAAAGCAGCCAAAAATAAATAAATTTATATAAAAAAAAAAACAGACTGAGAATCCATCTTATACCCACAGTTCACTATGATTTTATAGTGTAAACATGGGTCGTAAATTATGGGTTGACAGGTTTCATGCTCCCTGAAGGATAAGTACGCTTACTTTCACAGGACCCTATCTGGAAAGAACCTCAAAAGCTAACAAGTTCACTCTCCTTCCTTTAGGTAAAATACCTCTACAATTACCCAAGTCCAGTGAAAACTAAAAGTCTGCTTATTTTTCCCTGTGGGAAAGCAATTCCAGCACCTCATTCTGTAACTTATCACATTTTTAACAACCACTGTAAAAATTTATCTTTGGTCTGTATGTGCTCCAGTTGAGGCCCTCAATAGCCTTATTACTATTTTTCTTCACTGTATACACAGCTGTAAATGTGTATTAATCTTTTCCAGAGAAGACATATTGTTTGTCGCAGGCCATTTTTAAACCTAATGACTCCAGTGGTAAATGTGTATGTACACAACACAGTTCACACACTTTAGGCAGACATTTGGCCAATGTACTAGAACCTAAGTGTGATCAAGTTACTAGTAACAGGAGTTCAGAGTCCCAAAGGCTGGGGAAAATATCTCAGAGGATACACTGCAGCAAGAAGGGGCTCTCCAGCTATTTCTGGCAGCTGTAGTGTAGGCCAGAAGTACGGGTGTCGTGGCATCTGGTGGAGGTCTGACCTTACCGGGGGCCCACAATATTGGGCCCCTCTGCAGCCCTCATCCTAGCCTGGCCTGTGACCACAGTTCCACTGCTCTCCCTAGTGGAGACTGTACATTCCAGGCTTTCCCGAGCACTGGCACCCCGACTCCCCCTACTTGCCTGCCTCTCTGGGTTCGTCTCCTGTGGTCCTCCCTACACAGACATCGGACCCTCCAGGCCTCCCACCACCAGCAGCGGCACCCTGCCACCCTCTGTGTGTCTGCCCGCTAGCTACGATTCACCGGCACTCTCAAGGGTTGCTTCCTGCTTCCCAGGGATTGTGGACGAGCTCTGGCCTGGGCAACCCAGCAAATTTGCCCACTGTCCTGTGGGCTGTAGTCACACCTTCTCCAATGAGGTCTGACCCACAGCCTTGGGGAAGAGGTATCCCCTTTCAAGTTTGTCCTTCCTGAGGTACTCTCCCTCTCCCTCAGCTTTCGGATACCCTACAGAGTTCTTTTGAAATCTTACATTTACTCGTCAATTATAGCTTAATAATTCTTTGTACTGAAATTCTTTTATTTAAATCACTATGTGGTTGGGACCCAGACTGACGCAATCACAATGTCTTTGTGCTCATCGATAATATTTGCTAACAGTGTATTTTTATTGTTTTTATTTTTCCTTCTAGTTAAAGTATATTATGGTTAAACAATGTGGTCTACACAATTCCTACTTATTGGAATTTATTGATATGCTTTTAACCTAACGCATGGTGAACTTTTTAAAGTATTTCCAGAAAATTGAAAAGAAGGTACAGTCTCTATTTTCAGGGTAGAGAGACAGATATACTTCTATTAGATTAATCTTACTAAAGTTTTCATATCCTCTATACCAGGGGTCAACAAACTTTTTCCGTAAAGAGCCAGATAGTAAACAACACAGGCCTGTGGGCTACAGAGTCCCTGTTGTAACTCCTCAACTCTACCGTCAAGATGCAAAAGCAGCCATAGACAATTGTTTGTGTGGCTGTATTCAATAAAACTTTACTTACAAAAAGAGGCAGTGGGCCAGAGTTAGTCCACATGCCTTAGTTTGCCAACCCCTGCTCTACATCATCATTTTCATCCACCTGAGTCGTCAAGCAATGAGAAAGACAGGTTAAATCTCTTGATATTACTGTACTTTGTTTTCCCTATATGTTTTGGTCTTTCCCTGTATGTTTTGGTCCTTCTCTGTTTTTATAGTTCCATGCTCTGATATTTGACACAAAAAGGTTCATAGTTATTGTATCTTCCTGTGGACTTTACTCCTTACCATTGTAGAGTCCTTCTCTTTGTCCTGATAAAGGTTTTTTGTTTTGCATTAAACCTTACGTCTAATAGAGGAAAACACTTAGAAAGAAAATATACAATAAGACAATAAAATTAAGACCAAAGATAAGTTTAAGAATAAATCTAATTGGAATAAATTCAACTATTAAAGCAAATCTCAGAATGTGGCAAACACCAAAACCCTGTCTATAAGATACATATGTGAAATAGAGTATCCTAGAAGTTTACCTGAAATAGATTCTTCAACTGCCTTTAAGCTTTTTTTATTGTTTAAATCTTATATGCTATTAATATAAGTATTATCCTACATACCATATATTGCATCAGTTATATTTAATGGGGACGTTTTGAGTCTTTTATATGGCCTTAAAGAGTGCATGATTTGGTTAGTCTTTCCTCTGTTCATTGGAGCCCCATCTATGTCCTGCATATTTCCAAAATATACAAACAGCTCATACAACTCAATAACAAAAAAAACAAACAACCCAATCAAAAAATGGGCAGCAGACCTAAAAAGACATTTCTCCAAAGAAGACATATAGATAGCCAACAGGCACATGAAAAGATGCTCGACATGGCTAATTATCAGGGAAATGCACGTCAAAACTACAAAGAGGTTCAGTTGGTCCAAACTTCAAGTCTCCATTGGGTTCTTTTCACATACTCAGTAGTCTTGTGCATTCTCATCTGTTTTCGTGTAATTTCACTTATTTCATTTTATTTCTATGGAGACTGTGGTGGATATGCTCTAGCTCTGTCTGCGCTTCTGCATTTCAGGGTAGTCCTGCATGCCAAGTAACCCTAAAATATCTTTTTGAAAGAGAATTGACGCCCGCAATGGATTTCTTCTTCCTTCTTGGAATTCATTTCTTGATTTTCCTTTTTTTTTTTTTAACCTCACATCCATTAAGAAGAATTTGAGGCTCTGCCTTACTTAAATATCCACTTAAATGAATGATTAGCCTCCGCATATTAAAGTAGAAATTTAGTATTTCCAGGCTAAATAATCTTCTGAAACTTCTTTTGGTTCTAGTTTTGAAAGGAATCAAAAGAGCATAGCAACTCAAGACATCATGAAATTCAAATAAAATCACTTCACCCTCTGCAACGACCTGAGAGACACACAAGCAGGTGTGTGAGCTCTTACCAGCGGGATAAGCAGGCTGATAAGGTCTGTCAGAGGCTTGCCGAGCAGCAGCAGGTCTTCTGCGGCCTGAGTGTCCCCTCCAGAGCCGGACTTCTGTGCCTGAACAGGGGGAGGAGAGGGGAAGGGGGTCTTGGAGATTAGTCAGTTTGGCCATAGGAGACAGGTCCACCCAGTCCCAACAGATGACGGCGCAGAGGAAGCATCTGACCTCAGGCCCCTGAAGAGAAGTTATGCTGGGTAATCATGTGACAGAGTACACACACTGCCACCAGCTGAGGCCACAGAGGCGGATCAGGGTGGACCACAGATAAAGCAATAACCAGGGCTGTCGTTGGAGGGATGATATTGATGTTCACACGCTGCACGTAGTAAAGCACTTTATCTTCCCAACCATCCTGAGACGAGGTGCAGTTATCCCCATTTTTCAGGGGAGAAAACTAAAGTTCAGAGAGGTTGAGTAGTTTGTCTAAAGTCCCACAGACAATGGGTGACAAAGCTGGAGGATGAATCCAGGCTAAATGCCCCCAAATCACAGAAGCTCACCTCTTCTGGGCACTGTTATACATACACATTATATGATGCAGACCAAATGCATTCTGCTGTGCCTTCCTTCTCTATATGCACACACCTGCTCAAATAACATCTAGAATATTGATCGAATGAACAGGCTTTGGACACTGCATGAAGAAGCTTCAGATACAGGTCTACATTGCTTAGGAAGTACACAATGGAAGTAAGAATTCAGAAATGAGTGGCTTTAACTTAAAGTGTGTCTTTCCCAGGAGTTTTATAGAACTGCCTCATTTCAGAGAAGATTTCTATCATAGAGATGAATAATTTTATACTGAGAGAAGGCACTGATTATTTATTGTATTTGCTATAGCACATACACATTTCATTCGCATACACCCTCTCTGTTTTTAATTTCACTCAGAACAAAACTACTTTTAGGTAATGACCTTTGCCAGAGCCTTTTAAAAGCAGGCTGCCCCGCCTTAGTTCGGTCACTAACATAGACTCTGGGGCCCCTCACATAAATGCCAAGATTCCTTCTGCCTTCAGGCGTATGGAGAGAATTTAAGTGGCGCGCTTTCCTTCGTTCAAAAGGAAAAAGAAAAAAAAAAGGATGTTGTGGAAAATCAGACACCTGCCTTTTAACAGCTTGCACCTCTCTGCAGCCAAGGGGGACAACAATAATTGGTAGCTAGGAGTTTCCTCTCACCTCTCCCCTCCCCTATCCCTACCTCAACCCTTGGCCTCTATTAGAGAGGTGAAATTTCCTCCCAGAAAACAAACGCGTAGCACTACCCTAGGTCTGAACCTTTCTGAAGTTCGGCTGTTGATCCTGCCTTCTGAAGCACCATGTGAGGTGGAATATCGGCCTTTGCACATTAATATGTTATCCTTTAGAGTAGACCAACTGTCTCTTGGGAAAAATAAGGCAGTCTTGCAAACCAGCACCTAGGCAGGGAGGGGCATGGGGCCACTGCTTCCTTTCCAAACACACATAAGCAAGGAGACACGGCTACAAGCACAAGCACACACTGTGGGACTCTTCCCGCCAGGATATCCAGTGGGCCTCCAGACCCTCCAAGGTCTACAGTCATTTGTTATTGTCACCAAGAGACAACCTGACCCTGCCCGCCAGTATTCGGGTACCACCTCCTTATAAAGATGCCAAGCGTTCCAGAAAGGGAATGCTATAGCTTGCAGAAGAGGAAGGTGCACATCAGGAATGCATATGAAATTCAACTCTCCTCACAAAAATCCAGGCCCACAGCAGAAACTCTGTGCGCCAAGAGGGTCACATGTGGGTAGCCGAGCAACGGATACAGGGGCCTGGCCAGCCTCTCTCAGGGTCTCTCCAGCTCCCCAACGGCACACTCTCCAGAGTCAGCCTCTCGATTCCCAGATACCTTATGTGTGCATTCTGCAAGGGGCTCTTTCCACAGCAAGAAAACGCACCTCTGCCGTGATGTTGCTACGGTCCTCCCTGTCCAGTCCTCTGCCTTTGCCTCTGTCCCACTGATCCCTTTCAGCAACTCACTGCCCCAGTCCTTGCTGGCTGGTAACCAACCCCACTCCTGGCCATCCATGGTTCTTGGCTCACCCAGCTGTTACAGCCTGGGCAAGAGGAGAGGGCAGCCTGAGTTGGGTGCTAGCAGTAGTGCTTGAGGCAAAATCTAAATTATTTGCTAACAAATTAAATGAGGAATATTAAAAAGGGAAAATTTAAGAATGACCCCCAGGTTTCTAGTTTGCACAGCAGGATGAGAGGGGCAGGGCTTGCTGGCAGGAGAATGGTTTGGGAGGTGAGTCCTGAGCTCCGCTTTAGACATGTTGAATTTGAGGGGACTGTGGGGCATTCTAGTGGTCACGTTTAGGAAGCTACTGAATATATTAAGTACAGATCTCAGACGAGAACTCTAGGTACAAATATAAATTTAATAGCTGTAAACATATAAAACACGGGCATGTCAACTTATGAGCCATATGTAATATTAAATGGCATTACAGCATTACCCAAAATGAGATAAGGGGATACAGCTAACTTCTTGGCACAAGAAGAAAGGCCAGGAAGAATATAACTCTATTACATCTACCACTGCTACATGAATCTAGTGCACAGGGGGCAGGTCCTCAACAGAGCTTTGTTACATGAACACAGAGGTACAGCACCTGTAGTGAACAAGAGTCAATTCCTCAGGCAGCTGCTGCCAATGTCCTAAGCAGGTTTAAGCACAACAGAGCACAACGTGCAATGGTGTGGCCTAGACAATTCAAGTCAACACTCGGTGTGCTCCCCAGACACCGTCACCCACACGCTTGCCATGCACAGATGATACGACTCAGTCCCCACTCTGTAGAACCCCACGGTTTCATTAAAAGAATGGCATGCTTTACGAAGGAAAACAGTATGGAGGTTCCTCAAAAAACCAAAAACAGAGTTGCCATATGATCCAGCAATATCACTCCTGGGCACATATCCAGACAAAACTATAATTCCGAAAGATACATGCACCCCTATGCTCATAGCAGCACGACTTACAGTAGCTAAGACATGGAAATGGCCTAAACGTCCATCGACAGATGAATTGATAAAGAAGATATGGGGGCTTCCCTGGTGGCGCAGTGGTTGGGAGTCCGCCTGCCGATGCAGGGGACACGGGTTTGTGCCCCGGTCTGAGAAGATCCCACATGCCTTGAAGAGGCTGGGCCCGAGAACCATGGCCGCTGAGCCTGCGCATCCAGAGCCTGTGCTCTGCAACGGGAGAGGCCACAACAGTAAGAGGCCCGCATACCGCAAAAAAAAAAAGAAGATATGGTACCTATACACAATGAAATACTACTCAGCCGTTAAAAAGAATGAAATAGTGCCATTTCCAGAAACATGGATGGATCTAGAGATGATCATACTATGCAAAGTAAGTCAGAAAGAGAAAGACAAATACCATATGACAGCACTTACATGTGGAATCTAAAACACAACACAAATGAACTTATCTATAAAACAGACACAAACATAGAGAACAGACTTGTGGTTGCCAAGCGGGGAGCAGTGGGGTGGGGGAGGGAAGATGGATTGGGAGTTTGGGATTAGCAGATGCAAACTATTATACATAGAAGGGATAAACAACAAGGTCCTACTGTATAGCATAGGGAACTATGTTCGATATAATGGAAAAGAATATGAAAAAGAGTACACATATGCATAACTGAGTCACTTTGCTGTACAGCAGAAATGAACACAACACTGTAAATCAACTATACTTCAATAAAATTTAAAAATAGAAGAAGAATGGCAAGTTTTCAAATAACTGCACTAAAGGCAGAGTGTGAAAACTGCCACAGTGGAGGAGGGAATAGAGGAGCTGGGGCGGGAGTAGGAAAAGGTGACACAAAGTCACCGTTTGGATGGTGGGGACGAGGTCTGCAGGGAATGACGTGGACAGCCGGTGTTTCAGGTGCTGGAATCACGTGAGGAAAGGCCGGGAGTGATAAGGCACCGGATCCACGTGGAAAATGCCAAGGTGACTGTTTGGCATGCGCATGGGCTACGTGAGGGCTGGCGGACAAGGCTGGAAAACCACCCTGGGGCTGATCATACGAGGCCCTGACCGTCTTGCCAAGGAGTTAGAAAATGATATGTAGATAATGAGATGTCATCGAAGTTTTCAAGGGCAGGAGAGAAACGATGAGGACCACGGACTACAGCAGACAAATCTCACTTGCACTCAGCCACCAGACGGGGTAGCTCCTGGGGGACAACAATAAGGGCAAAGCCTGGAGGAGTCAAACTGGTAACTCCAAGGGATACTGAAATAGAGACTGTAGCCCCTACCCTGGCAGCCTTCACGTGAGTGTGAGATCAAAGACGACTCAGGGGCCACATTTCAGTCTTCCAGGCAATGCCGACACACCTGCAGACCAACAGCAGTTAAACCGTCCTACTACCAGAGTAATGTATCAAGCTGTCCCCCATCACTCCAGAAGTGAGAGACAAGGCCCAGACTGGGAAGTCAGGTGACCTGGATTTTAATATTGAATATTTTCTTTCCCTAGCCCCCAAACTTGGTAACATCCCCCGCCGCTGTTCACTCTGCAGGACCCTGTACCTCCCAGGGGTGAGGCATCTCAGTGTATTAAGATGATGATTTGCTCCACTATTTGGGTATTGGCCGTCATACCAAAATGAAGCTCCCTGACACCTAACACCCTTCTTCTCTTGATTCCTGCCAAAATCACAGGTGCCAAGCCCTAGGCTAGGCTCACAAATGCAAAATAAACCATAAATTTATATCTCGTAAGCCTGCTAGGAGTTAGTTCACTCCGTAAATACGAACTGAGTGCCCTCCCATGTGCCAGGACACAGAAATGAAGAAATCATGGCCCCCAGGAACCCTCTGTAAACAGAAACGGGAGGTGAGCACCTTTCTTCTTGTTGCTATTAATAATACAGCAACCATTTATCGCTTACCTTCCCTGGGCCAGGTATACTTAAGGCACATCATATTTACATATCTTGTATTCTCTCATTTAAGTCCCCTGCTGAGTAGTTAGCATGTCTACTTTACAGACAAGGAAACTGATACTCAGGTCAAGTAACGTGCCCAGCGCCTCACAGGTAAAAGTGACGTGGCTGGGGGCTTCCCTGGTGGCGCAGTGGTTCAGAGTCCGCCTGCTAATGCAGGGGACACGGGTTCGTGCCCCGGTCCGGGAAGATCCCACATGCCACAGAGCGGCTGGGCCCGTGAGCCATGGCCGCTGAGCCTCTGAGTCCCGCAACGGGAGAGGCCACAACAGTGAGAGACCCATGTACCGAAAAAAAAAAAAAAAAAAAAAAAAGTGACGTGGCTGGGATTCAAATCCAAGGTGTTCCAGCCTGCAAGGCCCAGGTGCTCCCACCACACCAGTGAGTCCTGGGCATCTATTTGTCTCTGCTTCCACATCCTTCACACACAAACTCACAAGGTAGGTTGGGGATAGGGATCGGACTCCTAGCAGAGATTCTGACACCTCCCTCCCCTACTCCTCACCTTCCCAGTACACATTCCTGCATCATATCCCTCTCCTCCTTGAAAAAGAAAAGCACTTCATAAATCTAAGCACTATTATCATTTTAAACACTGGCAACACTCAGCTCTTCTACTTTCGAGAGGTTCCTGTTAAAAGCAGACATGAACTTTGAATGCAGAAGAATCCCAGGTGTGCAGACAAATGGAAGAGGTGACTTGTGCTTTGGAAAGAACTTTCAGCTCAGTGTTCTAGAAGGATGTGTCGTTGGTGCCCACTCCATTTCTTTTCCCAACCTTTTCCCTAATTCAGTCTCAAGGACCCTACCTCTTTCAGACTGACACCAGGTACCATGTAGATCAAAGTCGGTCATCAAGGTCAAAAGCAATACTTGGCAGATATTAGAGGGAAAGATTTAGAAAGATGAGAGCAGTAAAATACAAAGTGCTGCTGAGGGCTTCCCTGGTGGCGCAGTGGTTGAGAGTCCACCTGCCGATGCAGGGGACACGGGTTCGCGCCCCGGTCCGGGAAGGTCCCACATGCCCCGGAGCGGCTGGGCCCGTGAGCCATGGCCGCTGAGCCTGCGCGTCCGGAGCCTGTGCTCTGCAACGGGAGAGGCCACAACAGTGAGAGGCCCGTGTAACGCAAACAAACAAAAAAAAGTGGTGCTGAAAAAAATGAAAGAATAAAAAACAGTGATCTATTGGTACACTAACAAATTGAAAAAAAGAATTAGAAAATACTTTGTACTAAGGAGTTTCCTTTTAAACACCCTACCTGATCACTTGAAATAAAAGAGGATTTCTATGTTCTGGAATTTAAAGAATTTTTAGACTTCTGATCCTTTTTATCCACAACCTACACAATCTTTTTTTTTTTTTTTTTTTTTTTTTTTTTTT